ATGAAGGGTCTAGGCCCGAAACGTCAGCCTCTCTGCTCCTATGATGCTGCTTGGCCTGCTGTGTTCATCCAGCCCTGCACCTTGTTGTCTACAAATCAGAGTGCTTGTTAAGTAAGGAACTCTATAATCATGAAAGATGTTCATCTTCATACAGATTGGACAAATCAAACTGACAAAGATAGTTTTGATGATGAGCTCAGAGTAGATTCAGCATAGTTTTGCAGCTCAGGGAATGGGCTTGTTTGAACCTGGTAATGTGCCATCTGCCAACATAGTGGCGGAGTAGCAGTGCTGCTTTTGAGCCCTGGTCCGAGGTTTGTCCTCTTCCACCTGCTTTCTTTGTTTCTTTTTCTTTTGCTCCTTTTCTTTCATTCTTTTTCTTTTTATCTCTCTTTAGAAGCATCTCTTGGCGTCTTCAGCAGGGTAACAGCAGGCCGAGCCTTCCAAGCATGTGGCAGGAGTGGCAACAGAGTCAGCTCCTGGTACTGGCAGCAGCAGGACTATTGGGGGAGGACAGCGAGTTCTGAGGTGACATCAGCAAGGTAGGCCAGTGGGTAAAGATGGCATCTGAAGATCAGTGAATTCATTGTTAGTTGGGTCCAACGCTGGCAGCTGCAAGTCTGTGGCTGAAGGACACCATAGCAATTGACCGTAGCGACCATCTCCAACATTGGTATGCCTGGCGCGAGCAGTGGCAAAGGTGAATCGGCCCAGTGGCGAAAGTTTGGGTCTGGTGAAGCAGTGGTGGTTCTGAGCCAGCTGAGAACTCGTATGTAGATGGACTTCTCTTTAAGCTATATCTTTACATTTTCTCTTATTTTTAAACTATCAAAACGGTACCAGATTATAGTGACAGACGAAAGCTTTTCACTGTATTTTATTGCATTTCACTATAACATACATGACCATAAATTATTCATTCATTCATTTGGAGTAATGAAACAAGGCATATTAAAGAATTTTCAGTAAAGGATCTTTTAAGAAGAGTTATAAAGAAAGGCTGGATAGGCTAGGACTTTTTCCACTGGAGTGTAGGAGGCTGAGAGCCAACCTAATACAAGTTTATGAATAATGAGAGGTACGGATAGAGTTGATGGTAGTTGCATTTTCCCTAAGATAGGGAATTTCAAGACTAGGGAGCAGATTTTTAAAGTGAGAAGACAGAAATTTTAAAAAGACAAGGCAATTTATTTATTTATTTTTTTTAAACACACAGATGGTGGTCACGTGTGGAATGAACGTCCTGAGGAAGTGGTGGATGCGGATACAATTAAAACGTTTAAAAGACATTTGGGTAAGTAAATGAACAGGAAAGGTTTGGAGGGATATGGTTTTGGAATTATGTTTGGCGTGGACTGGTTGGACCGAAGGGTCTGTTTCCATGCTGTATGACTCTATAACTAATGAACTATATATTCATTTGAGGGCAAGAAACATGAGGGTCTGAACCAGTGTCTTAAATAAAGGCAATGAGATATGAAAGTATGAAGACAAAGTTGGCTGAAGTAGATGGGAAAACAGATAGAAGGTAACATGGTACCGTTTTTGTGATAGTCAGTGGCAGACAATTTAAGGAGCTATTTCACAACTCTCAAAGAATTATTTTTAATGTAATATATAATAAAGACCGAACAATTTTTGGCTAAGCAAGTTAAGGATAGTACCAGATTGAAAGCAAAGGCATATAATGCTGTGAAAATCACAGGTATGCCAAGAGCTTAGAAAACTTTAGAAATCAAAAGATGACTAAAAAGATAATGAAGACGGAGCAATCAGAATGAGAGTGAACCTGTAAGAAAATAACAGAACTTCTACAAGTACATAAAAAAGGCAGTAGATAATGGGAACATTAGTCTCTTAGAAAATGAGACTGGGGAATTTGTAATGCAATACAAGGAAGTAACAGAGACTTTGAACAAGTATTTTCTTCCCCATTCATGAGAAATGAATATTACTGCCCTGGAAAGATCATGGTAAATGACATTGTTGAGCTACGGCAGTCCATCTAGTATAGGTACACCCACAGCACTCTTAGGGTGGTATTTCCAGGATTTTGATCCAGTGACAGTGAAGGAGCTGCAATATAGTTCCAGGATGCTGCCAGACTTGCATTGGGGAACTTCCAGTTGGCGGTGTTCTCATGCGCGTGATGCCCTTTAGGTTTCAGGTGGTAGAGGTTGTAGACTTAGACGATGCTGTCTGATGAAACTGCTGAAATGCATCTTGTAGATGGTACACATTGTGTGTGAGTGGTGAAGGTAGCAGATGTTTAAGGTGATAGATGGGGTATCAACCAATCAATCAAACCAAGCTTTAAGTGTTGTTGGAGTTGCACTCATCCAGGAAAATGGAGAATATTCCAACACACGCTTCACCTGTGTCTTGTAGATGGTGAACAGGCTTTGGGAAGTCAGGAGAGGAGTTACTCCTCAGAGAATTCCCAGCCTTTGAGCTCCTCTCATAACCACATATGGGTGGTCCAGTTCAGCTTCTTGTCAATTGGTAACTCCCGCCCAGAATGCTGACATTGGGATTCAGTCATTGAATGGCAAGGTTAAGTGGTTAGCTTTTCCTTGTTGGAAATGGTCAGTGCTTGGTACTTGGGCAGGGTGAATATTACTTGCCATTAACACATGGACGCAGACTGCTGCAGCCTACCTCAAATATTTACGAACTATATTAATTGCTTGAATGGAGGGACAGAGTATACTGTAGTCAAAGTTGCAGATGATACAAAGCGGGAAAGCAAGTTATGTGGAGGTCTCAGTCTGCATAGGGATTTCAATCAGTTAAGTAAAAACAGAATATTTACAATATATGTTAATGACATGGATGAGGAAAATGAATGTACTACAGCTAAGTTTGCAGGTGACGCAAAAATGGGCAGGAAGGCAATACTGTGAATGACAGAGTCCGCAGAGTGATATGGCCAGATTAAGCAAGGAGGTTAAAAACTTGGCAGATGGAATACGGCAGGGAAAATTTGAAGGTGATGCACTTTGGCAGAAAGAATAGAGGAGCTGAATATTAGTTCAGTGGAGAAAGACCTCAGAAAGGAACAGCACAAAGGGATGTGGACGTCCTTGTGCATAAGTCACAAAAAAAGCTGGCGTACAAATTCAGCAGGTATTAGAGAAGGCAAATTCAAGTTCAATGCAATAGGGTTGGCCTTAATTTCAAAGGGCATGGAGTATAAAAACGAAGAGGTCTTAGTCAACTGATACAAAACATTAGTCAGATCACTGGTAGAATACTATGAACAGTTATATCCTTACTTAAGGAAAGATATACTGGCATTGGAAGCAGTCCAGAGGAGGTTCACTAGGCTGTTCATGGATGGAGGGACTGTCTTATGAGGAGAGGCTGAGTGGGTTGAGCTTGTACTTACTGAAGTTTAGATGATTGACCAGTGACATATTAAAACAAGATTCTTAAGGGATTGACAGAGTAGATGCAGAGAAGTTATTTCCCTTGTGGGAGAGTCTAGGACCACAGGGCCTAATCTCAGAAAAAAGGGGTCACACATTTAAACCTAAGTCAGGAGGAATTTCCTCTCTGAGAGTAGTGAATCTGTAGAATTCTTAACACAAGGTGGGTACAGGCTGGGTCATAAAGCATATTCAAAATTGAGATGGACAGACTTTTAATCTGTAAGAGTATCAAGGGTTATGGGGAAAAGATTGGAAAATGGATTGGAGGAATATTAGGCCAGCTATGATCTCACTGAATGGTGGAGCACACTCAATGGGCTGAACAGACTACTTCTGCCCCTATGTCTCAAGATCTTAAAATAACATTTACGTGGAGAATTGCTGCAGAATGCTCAGTGCAGAGATATCTGCACAGATACAAGCATGTAATTAGGAAGGAAAATGAAACATTAGCCTTCATTGCAAGGGGGAGTAGAGCATAAAAGTAGGGACGTCCTGCTACAACCTGCATTGGTTGTTGGTGAGACTACACCAAGAATCCTGCAGTGTTGGTCTCTTATTGAAGGACAGATAATCATTTTTAATGTTAAGACGCATCTCCGAACAGGATGGATCTAGGCCTCCTGGTTCAGAAACACAGACATTACCGTTAAACCACAAGAATCAATTTTAAGGAAGCTTACAATTCCATTGGAAGGAATTCAGTGAAGGCTCATTTCTGGGATGAAGGGATTGTTATGTTAGGAATGGTTGAGAAGATTAGGTTTTTACTCATTGTCTCTCATTTTTCTAAACGCCAATCTAATTGAAATATTAAAAGATTCTGAGGAGGCTTGCTTGCGAAATTGTAAAGCGGGCATTTCTCCTCTTTGGGGAATCAAAAATGAATCAGAGGTTTCATTTATGACAAAGATTAGAAGTAATTTCTTTTCTGAGGAGGTTGTTAACCTTTGGATAGTGATGGTGGGGGCGGGAAGGTGGCCATTGAATATGTTAAAGGCTGAGTTGGGCAGATTTTTGATCTACAAGGGCATGACTGATTCTGGAGGCAGAGAGGAAAGTGGAGTTGTGGCTACAATCAGATCAGCCAAGAGCTGAGTGAATGGTGGAGCACTCTTGAAGGGGCAATTGATCTATTCCTCTCCTCTCAATCGAATAATCAATTCACCCAAACTGATTCTGCAATTCATCTCAACATCCCCATAGACCATAAAAAAGTAATTTCCTTTACAGGAAAGATAAAAAGAAAGTTTGCAGAATTTAAGTTGAATGAGGTATGCCTACTCCCTGGCTTAACAATGGATAATGCAGCTCCTTAATCAGTTTTAATTAGTATTTAAATACAAACAACAATAGACTTTTATACTTGGAGAACATAGACTGGTTTAATTTAGGATTTATGCTTATTTTTCAGCAGGGATCAGGGTGGAGGTTAATAACATAAATACATTCGTCTGCCTGAGACTGTTCTGCTATTCAATAGGATCATGGCTGATCTGACGTTCCTCATGTCCAGTTTCCTGCAGTTTCCCCATAACCTTCAATTCCCTTATGGATCAAGAATCTATCTCTGCTTTAAATATACACAAGGACTCTGCCCACACACCTCTCTGAGGCAAGAAGTTCCAAAGGCACCCAAGCCCCTAAGAAAAGAAACTCCTCATTTCAGTCTTAAACTGATGCCCCTTAATTGAAGGCTATACCCTCTGGTCTTTGACTCTTCTTTGAGGGGAAACATTCTCTCAGCATTTACCCTGTTAAGCCTCTTAAGATTACTCCATGTTTCAATGAAATCACTTTTCGTTCTTCGAGACCAACCTGTTGCTCAAAAAAATAATCCCTCAATACCAGGGATCATCCTAGTGAACCTTTTCTGAATTGCCTCCAATCTTTCCTTAAATAAGGGGACCAAAACTGCTCACAGTACTCCAGATGTGGACTTACCAGGACCTTGCACAGTTGCAGCAAGGCCTTCCTACTCTTGTACTCTAATCCCTTAGAAATAAGGTCAAAAATTCCACTAATCTTCCTAATTACCTGCTGCACTTACCAGTAGGTTAGCTTTCTGTATTTTGTGCACAAGTACCTTTGTGTTGCAGCTTTCTGCAGTTTTTCTCCATTTAAATAATCCCGTTCTTTTATTCTCCCTTTCAAAATTAGCAATTTAATATTTTCCCACATTATACTCCATTTCCCAAATTTTTGCCCATTTACTCAACATATCAATATGTCTCTGCAAAATGTATCCCTCTTGCAACTTGTCTTCCCACCTATTTTTGTGCTACAGTACATTCACTTCCTTCCTCCAAGTGATGAGTATGTATTCTAAACACTGTAATCCTGGCAATGATCCCTGTGCAATCCTACTGGTTAGAGGTTGCCAATTTGAAAAAGAACCCATTATCTCTACTTGCTGTTGCCTGCCCATTAGCCAATTCTCCATCTACAGCAATATATAATCCCCAAAGCTATCAGCTCTTATCTTATGATTTAACCTTTTGTGAGGGATCTTGTCAAATGCTTTCTGGAAGTCCAAATACAACACATTTACTGGTTCTGCTCTATCTATTCTGGTTGAGACTTCCTTGAAAAACTCTAATAAGTTAGTCAGATATGATTTTCATGAAGCCATGCTGACTCTACTTGATTGTATAATGATTTTCGAAATATGCTGCTTTTGCTTTTTAAATAATTCATTCCAACATTTTTTCCAACAATAGACACTGGGCTCATCAGCCGTTTTTTGCCTCCCTCACATTTTGAATAGGGGTGTCACATTAGCATTTTTCCAATCTTCTGGCACTTCTTCAGAATCCAAAGATTTTTTTGGAAAATTACAATCAATACAAACACTAGCTCTGTAGCTACTTCTTTCAGGATTCTAAGATGCAAGCTATCAGGGCCAATGAACTTACCGGTTTTTAGCATTTTTAGTTTGTCTAATACAATTTCTCTGGTGATGGTACTTAATTCCTCCCCTGTCTTCTTTAATATTAATGGGATGTTCAAAGTACCTCCCACCTTAAAGACTGATGCAAAATATCTGTTTTAACTCCTCTGCCATTTCCTTGTTCCCCATAACCATCTCTCCAGATTCATTTTCTGAGGGGAGTACATTCAGATTGATCTCTCTCTCTCTTCCTTTTTATATATTTAAACAAGCTCTTATTGTCAGTTTTTTTATATCCCTTGCCAGTTTTCCCTTGAAGTTTATTTTCTATCATTGTTTTGTCCCTTTTCGCTGGATTCTGATTTTATTCTAGTCTTTGAGACTACCAGTGACTTTCGCCTCCTTATTCGACTTTTCTTTCAACTTCATATTCGCCTTAACTTCCTTATTTATCCCTCTCTCAGAATTTTGGAATGTCGTTTTCTTTTTCTACTAAAGCTACAGATGTATCAAATTCTCCTACAAACTCAATCCCATTTTGTCTGACTTATTTACAATAAACCTAGCTTTCAAATTCCATGAAACTTTTGTAACGTGTACTTTTGATGTTTGATTCTCAAACTGAGAACATTACTTCAATAATAATGAAAATAAAAATATAAGTAGCTTACTTCTTAAAACAAATTGCTTCTGAGATACAAAAGGTCCAATTAATTTTACTCTCAATATGTTATCCAATTAAAACCTTTTGCAAACTGCAAAGGTATTTCAGATGAGCTTTGAAAAGTCAACCCAGTTTAGCAGAATACATACATAAACATTTCTGCTATATCGTGTGTTTCATCACCGTGAATTGGCTGTAACATGATTGGTGAATTGCGGATGTTGTTTAGATAACGCGAACTTTCCATTGTACAGTATAGGGATTTCCATATAACAATTTTCTATAGCATGAAGTCGCACAAGAATGCAACTATCGAAATATAGGAGAAATACCTCTACAATAATTTTTCTAAAGTCTGCATTTTTGACCATTTCTTTCCCTCTGGTAGCCTTAAGCTTTGATGTAAAATCCAACTCATAGACAGAATTAGAAACACATAGAGCATACACATCTCTGAAGGAAATGGTTTAAACTATCTGCAAGTATTGATTCTAGTTGTACTTCCAGTAGAATGAAAAACCCTTTAACTAACAGCATTGCATTCTGCAAAATTTGCCATAATTGAGCTGCACAGAATATCAGGTGTATTTATAAATTATTTTATTTAAATTATCTTACCTGTAGACCATGAAGCATTTGCTGGGTTCTTTTGTTCCACCGCCTCTCTTCCTGATCCTGGTCACCTCCCACAGTTTCTCCTTCCTAAAAATTACAGCAAAAACCATTGATATACAGTAAAACCACACTAACTATGGATAAGAAAACATCATAATCATGAATGTCATCCAATGGATTATGCATAAAATAGAATGCAGTAAAATATTAAGATTTCAATTGTTTATCCCAATTTTTCAAATATATTGAGAAATGATTTTGGATTGTAAATATATTTTAACAGAATAAAATACAATTTAGCACACAACACTTAAAATGTACAGAGCTGATCTTCCATTGTTGATACTATTCCTTATCCTTTATGGTTGCTTTGTTCATCATTGAGATTCTTCCCATTTAGTACCACACAAGTGTGCAAATCAGCTCCTGCTCAGAAAACCAGTGAAATCCTTTCCAAAATTCATTTCTCATCAGCAGTAATGAACTGCACTTTGCTAACGAAATGCTGTTATTTTCCATTTTAGTTAGAAATGTGATCTTAGTAATATACAAAAAATAATGCAAACTTGTGAGATTAAACTTTTTTGGAAACATAAGCAGGAATTTTAAAATCAATTTTAATGTTTCTTTAAACTTCAAACAAAAAATTTAACAAGGTTGTAAGGCCAAGAGACAGATTTTTAAATCGGTAAGGGAATCAAGACTTATGGGGAAAACAAAAGCAGAGAAGTGGAATTGAGGACTATCATATCAGTCATAATCTCACTGAATGGCAGATTAGACTCGATGGGCTGAATGGCGTCCTGCTACTCCTCCATCTTATGGCCTTAATATGGTCTCTTGGTTCCCACATGCCGACCGAATTAGCTGTGGCTCTGACTGCAGTCCCTTGAAAAACTTGCGGCGTCATCAGCTTCCAAAAAGGAATTCCGATTGTGAACTACCTGCCTGTTTCCCTTGGAATGACTGTCATCGTTCTATTTCAATCTCCAGATCCTTAAGCTGCAGTGTGACTGTCTTTGAACTCACTACGCAAGTGTCTGCCTCGTGGACACGCCACAGTGACTCCAGCCACCGCTCGACCTCTGAAACCCACAGCTCAAGTTTCTGCAGCTGATAGCACTTCCGGCACAAGTGATCATCTTGAACACTGCCAAGGTTCATGATTTCCCTCATACTACAGGTCACACATTACATTTGACTGTATTGTGCTGCCACGTCTTAACATTACTTCCACTATCTCAACTTCATTCTGTTTTGGAATACTTATGTTACTTTATTCATATCAATCCCGTCTTTCTTTTATTCCTTATGTTTTGCAATTAAATCCAAGGATAGATACATCTTTAAAAAATGTTTTTTCGAATTTACACAAAGTTAAAGACAGTCTCAAAGAGCAGTTTCTTGCCGATCAATGTACTTTCTGAAATGAACACATGAAAAATAAAAGCACCGCCTCCCTGCCCTTCAACAAACTTCCCACCCAGCAGAATTCACTCTTGAAGTAAACCTTACATCAAGCACCTCTTTTGCCCTCAATATCAAATTCCCATTTTGAGCCAAATTCCCAGATATATTAAATTTGGCCTGTTTCTGTGTCATTCAGGCAAAGTGTCCCTCATACTCTCAATGCACTCTTATTCCCAAAAAACAATTGACAAACAGTGGATTACAGCTGAATGGAATCTATTTTGATTTGATGTCTATGTACTTAATAAAATACATGGGATGGAATCCAAATGTTCCTGACAGTAATACAAGATTGATAGGATTAATTATAGTGGCTGCATTTCCACTTAATTTGACATCAACAATCACAAAAGAATAGGAATCAAACCTGCAACTTTCCACATTTGCAAGGCTTATTCATTTACCTCAAACTGGTTATGCCATCAAGACAGAAGTACAGGATTGGTATCTACTTCCATATGAAGCAAGTGCAGATAGTAGGCACAGAAGGACAGACCTACTTTTATTTTTTTTAAAAACAGCACACAGATGTTTACTGTCATTGTTCACTCACAAACTGTGCCTAGCATCAGAAGGTGAATCAATGACTTCAGAAAAATAAGGAAAAACAAATAAAAGGATAAAGCATTATACAGAATCTGCAAAAAAATACCTGTTTTTGCAATAATCCTAAATATTTTGAGCCAATTTAATCAGAATAGCTTGTTAAAAACATATTAGTCAAATAACTATATCCCACCTCCTCTTCTTCTTCTTCATCTTTTTCTTTTTTCTCTGGTAGAACAGCAAGTTCTGGAACAAGGTCAGTGATGTGCAGTTGTCCCTCTGGAGGAAGCTCTACTGGTGGAATCTGCAGTTCCTGTTCTTGCTGCTGTGGCTGCTGTTGTTCATCTTGCTGCAGTAATGACAAACAGTTACAATGTTAGATACACAGGACTCCATCAGAGTTAAAGGAGCGGGAATGAAAGTTTCGGTATCATGCAGCAACACTAGAGGCCAAAATAAGTCACTTTTTTTTTTCGGGCAAGTAGTTTTCTCTCGAGAAGAAAGCAGTACTTAATTGTGTTGAACTGAACCCAAGATCAAGTTTAAGGATTAGAAAGGATGCAGCTTCGCAACAGCAGCACTAAACAAACTATAATCATTCCTTCATTTTGGCATGAAGGAAAGATATTTTTATTGTCTAATATTACTGCTTCACGTCTTGTTTTGTTGAATACCTACATTTTTAAATGAGCAAGCAAAACTCATTACATAGCCAACATAATTGGTGGTATCCAAGTATTCTGTGGTGTGTTGTCTCGCTGTAATAGTTACATTTTGAAACTTAATACACCACTTTGATTTTATTTAATCTTTTGCACGAAAATACAAATGATGTGTAAAATGAAAGATTCAAAGAAATTTTTTTTAAAAAATTACTCACAGGTACTGTGGGTTCAGACTCCATTTCCTTCGATTTACGTTTAACGACTCTCTGTGGTGGGGGCATAATTGACTCATCTAGTGTAGTTCTACTGCTCTCCAATATAGATTCCTGTAGACGACTCGGCTCTTCCAAGATGGGTTCATCTAAATTTCAAAAGCATTGATAAGTCTACTTTACACAGTTAAATACTTGTTTTGTTAAACAATTTCAATTTCACATGAAAGCCATCTTATAACATTTCCTTCAAATGAGAATAAGCCCTACATGATGTACAACTGGGCTTCTACATCATGAAAAATCTCTTAACAAAATCCCTTTGTAACCATGTAACTTGTTCCCCTGTAGTGTTATCTTTCAAGTGAATTCATGCTTGCAGACCATTATTAGTAAAACTAATTAAATTTCTTCTTGAATCAGTTATTAATAATGTCCAGAAGTAACAACATTAGCCCATCTGTTCTTTTTCAGCTGTTGCCTTTTTTCCCAGCTTTTTTATTGATTCAACTGAAGTTACTAGATCCTAAACACGCAAAATTTTAATTATCCTCCCTCTGCCAAATGTAATTCAAAATTTCTTTAGTGTACTAGCAAACAGCTATCCTGTAGAGCCGAAAAAAAGGCCTAAAACTATAAATCAGCAGAACACTACCAACACTACTAAATCTCAGCTGTTGATTTGATATTAAATCTAATGAAGCCCCCCATAAATATTACACCAACAGCATCTAAAAGTCACAATACAGTTTCCTGCACTATATACAAGTATCAAAGGTTTACACCAACAATATAAAGGATTAAAAGTGTTTCAACTCAACATGACTTAAAGTTCTCAACAGGGAAAAGGCTTCAGTGTGTGTGTGTGTGTGTGTGTGTGTGTGTGTTTAAGGATTCAGCTCGAGAGATAGCTGTTTACCTATAATTATGTGTGCTGGAGATTTTCTACCGTTCATCCAAACAAACTGGCCCTCCAATATATGGATAATCTTTGTCTATCTTATGAGAGTGGAACACTGACTTATGTTCTATTATCATATCTGCACAAGGCAAATTTTTGAAGACATTCCCAGATTTTGTTCTACTTGAATTGTGTGGGGAAGGTGTTTGACAGATTGCATGATGTTTCCTTAAATATACTATTGTTTATTTCCACATAGCCCTTGGTCAAGCAAATACAGTAGTTTGTTTTGTCCATGGTTTTTAGTTTTTCCAACATTTCCATTTTTATGAGATCCACATATAAAGTGTGTTTTTAAAGAACTTTAAATCAATTTATTTTCAAATACTGAGACTTGGTAACCATATTAACAGTTCCTAACTGACTCTCATCATTACCTATAGTTTAACAGATGTATTTGTTCTTGGACTATACTGTGGTTTTGCCATCTATTTGCATTAAGGCTGTATCCAAACTGAACTAAATTATTGGTAAAATTGGAAAATCTCTTTTAAAATAAAAAGGAAACAACAAGGCTTAGAATGACGGTACTAAATGAATTAGTTCTGCCATTAGTTACCATAAACATCTGGGTGTGTACATTGCTAACAGGATTCTAACGAACGACATTCCAGCGACAGTGGTGTAAAAAGAATCATTCATAATTGCCTAATCAATATAGCAATGCTTTATGAAGGCATTCAGATTTCAAGCAATTGTTTGCAAATAATATTAACTGGATACATTTTTATGGTGACCAGGAAGCATCCATGGAATAGACAAAAAAAATTACACAATAGGAATTTATAAACAGAAACAGAAGCGGAAGCAGAAAACTGGGCAGTCTCTGATCATTCATTGATTTTTCAAGTCAAAATGAATATGTTATCAATAAGATAATCAGGCATTTGGATTGTGGTTGCACACAGGTACAGAAATTAATTGGGCAATTAGGCAAATATATAGAAGTATACATGAGACTGAGAACTTAGTGTAGGGTGAAACATGGCTGAAGCACTGAGAATTAAAAGAAACATACAGAATGTAAGCTTAATTCAGAACAGCTCGGACACGAGATATATTTAGCTACTCAAGAGACAAAACCATAACAATGTATGTAAAGTAGAAACCCTGAAAGTTGCAGAGAAATAGTTACTGCAAGTGGGGACTTGTTTGCATTTTCAAGGGACATGGTTACTGCTCATGGGCACAGCAGCAGCCCGATTAGTCTTATAAAGTAAGGTGTTTATCCCAACTGGCGAATGTCTAGTCTTCTAACGAAACATCAATACTGTAATTATGGTTAAGTGACAAACTATGCTTGACTAACAAGCATAACTATAAAGTGTATTAGTAAGTGAAGAAACTTTTGTTAGGTAAACAGTCTCTCGAGCTGAATCCTTACACACACACACACACACACACACACACACACACACACACACACACACACACACACACACACACACACAATTAAGCCTTTTGCCTGTTGAGAACTTTAAGTCATGTTGAGTTGAAACACTTCAACAGGAAGCACTTCAAAAAGATATTTGGTTGCAACTCAAAACAAATCATTCAGAATGAGTCTATATTTGCAATATTGTGTACGTACTGGATGGATTCTAACACTTCCACATTTGAGGTGAATCAAAACAGACATTCAGATGATTAGGGATACAAGTTACTTGACAAAACCGAAATTTCATGGGAAGTGGCAAATCATCTCATATCCAAATACTATATGAAGGAAAAATAAAGAGCAGACATAAATTAGAAACTGCATTGACAAGACATATAAGCATCAGAGCTCCTACCAATTATATCACGCTGCTGCTGTTGCGGCTGCTGCTCCTCCCTTGGCACTTCTGGATTTTCAATCTCTTTCAGGAATTGTTCCAAGTTGTCTGCTTCACCTCCTTTTCTCTTTTTCCTTAGCTCATCTGGGACAATTGGTGTGAGGCACCGTGTAAAAAGCTACGCAAAAGTCAAGTACAAGTTCACGATTTAAATTATATATCATTGTCTGGATACAAACACAGAGTTACACAAGTGCTTAAAACTAAAGCAGTTTCTATTGTTTAATGCACCAAGACACACAAAATCCGTAACTGTTTAATAGCCTAAATATGATTTCTGAACACAAGAACTAGATACAATGCTTATGAAATGCAACTAAAGGAAACTATTAAAATGGAACTTAGAAGCTACGTTTAGCACAAAAAAATTATTTCATTCTAAAAGTTGTAGCTCAGAACTATGCCCTCCGTAAGCATAACGCAGACATTTAAAGAATTCAGGTACCTTCAGCAACCTGTTATTCCAGAGAGGCTGAGCTGGAAGTGAGAACAGTTTCTCCACACCACCAGTTTCTTTCCACATCATAAGTTTCTTGGTAG